CAGGTTGTGGCTGGACAGGGAACAGTGAGGCACTCAGGGTGGATTTATGTCTTGGAATTATTATTACATTATACCAGTGCTGTGTCAGTCACAGTGACTGCTGGTATTTCCACTAAAAAGAGTTGGGTTTGAGCAGGTTGTAACTCAGATTTGGAACGGTTTTTATTAGTCTCTGCCCCAACCAATACCAACGGGCAAAGGGATGTTGCCATTCATTTTCCAAGTTAAACCTTTCACAATCAGTGCCTGACCCATAATTATGCTTTGACAAAAGATCTACACAACGGGAATTCTGCAAAAATGTCCTGACTGGAATGATCCTTTACCGTTAACCAGTGCTGAGGCTTGGGGGTCACAATATTTCTGTGGGCAAGTTTTCTGTCCTCAGTACAAAGTTGAGTAAAATACTACTGTCATTTACCCAGAATGTACACATAATCCTCCAGAGAGTGGTTGGGTACTGCCCAGGCTCCCCAGGGCAGTGGGCATGGCCCCAAGGCTGCCAGAGCTCCAGGAGTGCTGGAGCACTCAGGGACAGGGTGGGATTGTTGGGGTGTCTGTGCAGGGCCCGGAGTTGCACTGGATGGTCCTTGTGGGTCTCTTCCAGCTCAGGATATTCTGTGATTCTGTGGTAATCGTTGCACTTACTCATTTAGCTGCCATCCTTGGCTCTGCTTGAACACGTGTGTGTCACTAGAATTCCAGGACACTTTCACACTCCTGTGTTTTTTCTTTCCTGTGAAGAGAATCCAGATGACTCGAAGACAGTCGGTGGGGCGAGGGCTTCAGCTGACCCCTGGGATAGGTGGGATGGTAAGTGTATTAAAGTCTACTGCTAAAAACCTGCTTTGAGGAGCATTCCTAACTCTTGGGGTTTGTTTTGGTTTTTATGGAAGTGCAGCTGCTGACTAAGGTATCTTTTCTGAGATCAAAGGCATCAGCTCAGATTTTTTTGTTTGTGCTTGACTTGCATATACCTGTCCCTGGATTTCTGCTTGGAACTGGCCTCAGAACCAACTGCCCTTTGCCTGGACAGTGACTGAGCACTTGGGAGGGACTTCTGGGAGTACTTGGGAGAGAAAGGTTCAGAAGATTCTAGAGGGAAATGCAGGGAATGCCTGGTGAGGGAAGAGGGAGCTGAGGTTGCTGGCTTTGTGGGCAGAGCAGGAGCAAAGGACACGAGGGAACAGGGAATTTATTCACACAGGGGAAGATCCTCTGTGCCAGGTACCTTACAGCAAGCTGTGTTTAGACAAACAATTCCTGTCTGTTTAGGAATGAGTCACCCTAAGATTCCTTTGCAGTGGCAGTTCAATGGTAGAATGATCTCATGGAATAGATGTCTAAAAAATCTTTGGAAAGATGGCTGCCCTGCAAGTTTATGGGGCATATTTTGGTTTGGTTTGGGTATTTTTTATCAACTGTAAGGACCATCTTTATAACTAGCTCAGATTTAGATGTCTGAAATTATACAAGAATTTTGTTAGGGCTGAATCTGTCTTTGTTTTATTGGACTATGTGGAAGAATCAACCTTTAACTCAGCTGGTAGAAAATGGAAATACATTGTAGGCTCTCATATCAGTCTCTTTTCTTCCAGCAGCAGCACTTCTTTGATGATGAGGACAGAACAGTTCCAAGCACACCAACTCTTGTAGTTCCACATCGTACTGATGGATTTGCAGAAGCCATTCAGTAAGTAGATAAAATTAAAAAAAGGCTTTTCTTTATTCTGTTTTTCAGTGGAATGAAAATAAATTCAAATTAAATGAACTTGTGATTGGCTAAAACATGTTAAGTAGTATGATAGAAAATCATTGTTTGAACTGTATGTCATGTAACTGATCATCAAATTAGGAGGTGGATACTCTCCAGTGTATTAACTGTATTAAGTCAGTAATTTACTGACTTAAGAAGAGATTAAACAAACAAAAGAAAGTTCCATCTAATTTCCTTCCTCAGTCTTCCCCCCCCCCAATTAATATTACCAATAAAAGTAGGAAAAGTTACCCCCATTTTTGATTTTGAGATGTTCTGGACACATTCAGGAATCCAGTTAAAATTGTGAGAATTCAGAGGATGGGTATGTAAAGAATATTCTCTTCAGGACTGTTCTACTGATTTTGAATGCATTCCAAATCATTTAAGAAGCTGATTGTTATTCATTTAGCAGTAGTTTAGCTGATTTTTACGGTCAGGAGGAATTCATTTTGTCTCATGTATAATTTGCTCTCTTGATTTGGTCGGAAAGTTGTCTTCCCTTCCTGCCCTGATCATTGGGGAAGTTGCAGAATTCCTTCAATCTTTATTTTGACAGTTCCCCCCAGGTGGCTGGAGTTCCTCGGTTCAGATTTGGACCTCCTGAAGATATGCCACAAACTAGCTCCAGTCACTCTGATCTGGGTCAGCTTGCATCCCAAGGAGGTAAGCCAGCTCTGTGCTTCCTTTGCCATGGATCTTGGAGTGAAAAAGAAATAATTCAGTCAAAAAAAACACAGTTCTACCTCGGGAAATTGGTAAAAGTGTGGAAACCTGCAACTCTTAAATAATTGTAAGCAGAGGGAACTTAACAGAAAGTGAAAAGGAGTTCCCTTCAAGCTGCAAAATTTCTACTTGTATTATGATTTTAAAATGAAATGAAATATTGAAGGAATGGGGTTTAACGTTAATTTTGGTTGTAGCTTTCCTCTCGTAAAAAAACAGGGGAAAACAGCAAAAGCAAAGAAATCTTTGGGATATATCCTCACCTGCTGAAAAGTGTCCAAGCAATGTGTCTCTATTGTCCTGATTCAGTCCCTTTCCCCTGTTCCCCGTTGACATGGAATGTACACTGCTCCCTGAAGAAAGCTCATGCAAAATAATGGCATAAGAAAAGGATGACAGTAAAAAAACCAAGCAGTAATATTTTCATCAAGGTTTTACCTTTCAGTAAAATATAATCAACTCTGACATTAAGTCAATAAAATTATAAAAATCTCCGTATGTAAGGACAAATTGCTGGATTTCATCAGGGGGAAGACATCAATTATTCTGGGCTTTAGCTGGTTATTTTGATGATTGTCACTGACCCTTTGTGTTGCAGGCTTAGGAATGTATGAAACCCCACTGTTCCTTGCTCACGAGGAGGAATCTGGGGGTCGAAGCGTCCCCACAACCCCGTTACAAGTAGCAGCACCAGGTGAGTGGCAGGAGGTTTGCAGACCAAAGTAAAGGCTGCAAAACTTGACTGCTCAGCAAATAATGAAATTCCAGTAGTCCTTTCCCTGCCCTGCCTGGGGTTTCCATGGATTCTGTGCAGGGAATGGGGACTGACAGGCTGTTTGTTGCCCCGAGCAGTGACGGTGTTCACGGAGAGCGCCTCGGCCGACGCCTCGGAACACGCGTCCCAGTCCGTGCCCATGGTCACCACGTCCACTGGCAACCTGTCCACCACCACAGAGCCTGGGGCTGGGGACGATGGGGATGAAGTGTTTGCAGAGGCAGAATCTGAAGGGTAAAATACAACTCATTTGGTTCACTAGCCCGTTTAATGATTTGTTTTCATCTCAGTGTGTCTGCGAGTCATTGGCAGTTTAACCTGTTCTGGTAGGAAGGACAGCTCAAACAGGATTTAGTAAGCTCTGAAGCAGTAGAATCTGACCTTTTCATTCAGAAACAAAGGTTTTCTTCTGATTTTCTCCTGGTTTAACAAAGCTCATATAAAAGTTACAAAAATAAAATTTAAAAAAATATATTTCTGTATTTTTTAGAGAATGCAGAGGGATCTGCAGTAATCAAAACTGATGGTAAAGGGCCAAGTTGAAGGATCGGGGTTTGCTGAATAAAGGCTAAAGCATTCCTGTTTAATATAGAAACTCACTCCTCATTCAAAGCACAGATATATAATGAAGTCAGTTAAGACAGTGAAGGTACAAAAGATGTAGCTTGGGGGGAATATGAATTTCGTAGACAAATGGTTTTGTCTTCATTTTACGAGTGCAGTTTTTAATATTTCTGGTAATTGCTACATTTTGTATTATGATCAAATGCATTACAGATCTAAAAAGGGATGGTTTATCATTCTATGCCATATTTTACTTTTGATTTTCATTGAATCTGTGTGTTCCAAGACAATGCTTTTTTTCTCCAAGACAGTGCCTTTTCTTCCTGAGCGTTTTGAAAGTATGTGAATACACTTCCATTGTTTTCCTCCCCCTCCTTCTCTCCTAGCATTACTTCAGAAGCAGGTCTAGAAATTGATAGCCAGCAAGAAGAAGAATCTGTTCAAGCATCTGATGAGTCAGATCTTCCTTCAACTAGTCAGGATCCTCCTTCAAGTTCGTCTGCAGGTACAGAATAATTCTTGAAAAGAGCTGTTTCATTCTTGTCCAGCAGCATGGCTGGTAGCCAAGATACACAAAGTAAGATAAAACTCTTTGAATCACAGACTCATGGGATGATTTGGTTTGGAAGGGATCTTAAAGCCCATCCAGTTCCCATGGGCAGGAACAACTTCCATAAGACCAGGTTGCTCCAAGGACACTTCCAGGGATGGGGCAACCACAGCTTCTCTGGGCAACCTGTCCCAGGGCCTCACCACCCTCACAGCCAAGAATTCCTTCCCAACATCCCACCTAACCCTACCCTCTTTCAGTTTAAGGCCATTCCCCCTTGTCCTGTCCCTCCAGGCCCTTGTCCAGAGTCCCTCTCCAGCTCTCTTGGAGCCCCTTTAGGCACTGGAAGGAGTTGTAAGGTCTCCCTGAATTCTCTTAGAGCAGGATCATGTTTTGATGCCTGTAAATTCTGTACTTTGGCAAACCAGTTTTCCCTGGCCCGCAGTAACTGGAGTAGGCCAAGTAAGAATAATGCTTCAGGGAACAGAAGTTACTGATACTTTGCTGATTTATCCACTGGTGTGTTTGATGTCAGCTTTAAAACTATTTTTCCTTCAATTAAAAAAGTAGAGTAAATCAGTGAGTTACCAATTTACCCCCTAGCACAGGTAACAAAAGAAGGGCCAAACTTATTTTTCTTCAGGCTTTTATTTATATCAGAGGACATGTCAATGAAATAAGGAGGTGCCTTCATGATTCTAAAGTAAATTAGAGAGCATAACTCCTATCAAATCACATAAACATTGAGAACCTGCCAGGCACAGACTTCCTTTCTGCTTTCCCCCTCTCCACAGACACGAGCAGCAACCAGCCCAAGTCCCTGCGCCGTGTGCGGCTGCAGCCCCCGACGCTGCGCACGGGGGTCCGTGGGCGCCAGTTCAACAGGCAGAGGGGTAAGTGCCTCTGGGGGCTCCAGGCCACGGCTTTGGAGGACTTCCTTCCTGTGGGGACACTCTGTGAAGTACTTTGTAGGCCGTGTTTGTTCTAGACATGGAATGATGCCCTGCCCTAGGTTCTGGTATGTGACCCTAAAAGCTCTAGTTTTGTTTAAATGTGTCTGAGCAGTTTTTAGACAGGCAAACTTTCTTCTTCTCTGGCACTCGGTTCTTATCAGTGGAGAGAAAGTAAAAGGCAATAGATCTTACACTTGCAAGTTTTTTAGACAGAAGTCTAGAAATCTTTGGTTTTAGTTACAGAGCAGTTCCCATTTGGCACTTTAAGAGTTCCAGTTCTGACATCACTGTGTCCTATACTGATTTAAAAAAAAGGTTCTGGAAGTATTAAGGATTTTTTTATAGTGCAAAATAGAGTTCAACCACAACAATAAGTTCTTGTTTGCAACTTCTGTATTAAGAAAATCCTTAGATGAATTGTATTCCATTTGTCATTATTTTAACATTGTAGAAGACTCAATTTTAGCATTGAAATATAGTTTAGCTGGTATTTTAAAGGAAAAAAAAAGTGAGGGGGCCTAGGATACATTTTCTTTCATCTGTCACCATAATTTTAATAACAACAACAACAACAACTGATTTCAGGTGTGGTAAGAATGCTCTGCTGGTTCTTTCAGCTCCCAGCACAGGATAGTCAGCTGCCTTTTACATGACAGAGGTGACGTGTGTGTCACCAGGCTCAGGGGAGAGAGGGGAACTTGAACTCGGTCAGAAAGGATCTGCTCCTCTGCAGTGGCAGTTCCTTAGGGAAGGATGAATTGTCACAATGGCTGATTAACTATAAATCCTTTCATTCCTTTAATGCATTTGTTTTCTTTCCCAACACAGGTGTAACTCATGCCATGGGAGGCAGAGGAGGCCTGAACAGAGGAAACATTAGTTAAATGATGTGTAAAGTAATTCCAGCTGTGTATACAAAGTGCCAGTTTGCCTGTGGTTGCTTTAGTGTAATGAAGCCAGAGCTTAAAGCAGCATTTCATACTTAGAGTTGTGTGCACACATTTCATTGTCTTTTATTAATAAAATTAGAAAAAATGGTGACATTCAAATGGCATCTCTTTTTTAAAATCCTCTGGTGTGCATTACTTGCTGGGACAGTTGTACCAGTCTTTGGATACAGTCTTTCCTGTGAGAGCAGTAACAGGTCTTGCTATTCTTTTGCCAATATCCAAACTGTAGTACCGATCTGGAAGGAAGAGAGGTCAGGATTAAATTCCAGAAACTACATTTAATACATAGAAAGAATCCAGAAATTAAAGCCTGCATTTTAATGGCATTTAGGCCGGAATAAGAGATTTTTCATTCCACATGCATGTATGGAGTTGTGAGGCTCTAACAATCAACTTCTGCTCTCGGCTTTATTTTTTACAAGTCCTGGGTTGTATTAAGTTTTATAGTACTGCTAACAATTAAATCTGTCCCAAGAACAGGAGTAGGGAAGAATACTTTTGTACTGGTTGAACACAGAAATAGTCTTGAGAATTTGGAAATCAAACAAGCTAAAAACAAAACAATCCTGCACTGACTACAAAAGTGGGAACTCAGTGGTCCCCAAGCGTGAACGAGTGTTAAGGTGAGGAATTGAATCATCCTACCAGGGACTTTAGTATCCTGTATTTGGATAGTTGTTAGAGCTTTTTTTCTGAATAATCCACTCTGAGGAGTGCTTGTACATGATCCTGGCTAGAAGGAAAGAATCTACCTAATATGAGATCATAAATAATGCTTTTCTGGGAAGCAAAGTGGTTCATGTCCCTCCCTTTTGTCAGAAACATAGAAGCCAGTGAAAAAAGTATTGCTGTGGGGTGATCCGAGGATTTCAGTCTATCATTTATATAATTCTGCATTTAAATATTGAGTTTTTTGTCACTTTACAAGCCTGGACTGCATGGCAATACATTCCCCATCAGGCTGGTTTGAACCACTGTATTTCATTGCTGCTCGTTGTCCTGTAACTATTGATTCTTATTAGAAACATCTCTTGATTACAGGCAACATTTGAATTCTCAGGACATTTTAGCTGTGCTTAAAATCAGTCTTGTAGAACCACAAGTGATAACACGGGCTTCTTCCTCATCCCTGTGTCTTTTGAGATCTATAGCAATGTGCTTTAGCTTTAACTTACTGTAAGAGAAGGCATAGTAATCGTAGCCATCGGGCTTGTTCTGGTTGGGGATGGAAAGAGTTGAGTGGATAACTTTGGGGAGGCCTCTCCAGTAGGTTTGCATTCGGATTTCCTTGCGCAGAACTCCTGCAAGCAAAAGAAACCCTCAGTGAGGAGGTGTCACAGTGTCTGCTGTGGCTGCCGTGTGCTTGTCATCCGAAGCGAGAGCCACTGCATTAAAAACATCTAAAAGTACCATATTTTAAAAAGGTGAAACAGAATGTTGTTTCAGAACCTACTAAGGTTACAACAGTTGTATAAAAGACCCTTAATAAACATGAGCTACCAGTTGGGTGCGGGTTGACTCTGACAGTCCGGATGATGGTCGGCATTCGCACGGCACGTTGGAAGCGCCTCCGGATGACAACACTTGGCACAAAAGCTGGGTATCTGATGGTAATCCGTGCTCTTCTCTGACACTTCCTGGCTGGTTCTTGTCTGTACACATACTGCTGCATGTTCCCATCTAAAGGAGGCATTTGTTTCATTAGTTTAAAAGCAAAACCCAAGGAAACACCCAACAGTCATTGATCAGATATGAAGGTGTCACTGGTTTCCATATTACACACACAAAATCAATAACAACTAATGTTATGTTGGTAGTACAGCATTCATGTACGAGAAGGAAATGACATTAATTTAAAATACAAAATAAGAAATAGGGACATTTCCATACATAGTTATGAACTAGTAAGATTAAAGCCTCCCCTCCTCTAATTAATTTGGGACTAAAATAGTTTTACCACCAGGTAAAACTTATTTTAATGTTTGGCCACTGCAATGCTGGATTCTCTACAGACCTGTTTTAAAATGCACTGAAAGACCTGTAAGTACTAAGAAATATTTTTACATCTTTAGGCTATTTTTGACCACCTGGAACACTGACATCAATTATGTTTTTGTTTTTGAAAGAAATTGGTCTTTGGGTCAAGAGAAACGGTGTTTTATTCCTGACTAAGGTAAATCAAGCACCTTTTGATGATCCCTGGACTTCAGAAATAGGAGACATACCTCTCTTGATAAAATAAACAGATTCTGGTCTGTTGTTGTATCTTGCCACAGGTAAGGTTGCTACTATTCTCCCACTTAGCCCTGCAAATCCATTGGCAAGAGGTTTGGGATAGCCTGGATCCAAAATTCCATTAGTGAAACGCCAGTACAGGGGGCCCTGAGGATTCAAGGGGAAAATGAGCTTTAGAGGAAATTATTCTTAGTTATTGAACTTCAACACAAACCTGAAGAATCCATAAATAAACAGTAGGACTTTGATAGGTAGATTATAAGTCTGACTGGAATCACTCCTGCATCCATTACAAACAGGAAAACTGCTACTTCATAAAATACCTTCTGCAGTCTTTTAACATTTGAGTTGGGCTAGAGTATGTTAGAAACTATTTTTTAAGAGTGGTTACTGAACAAAGGGATTTGTTTTCTAAATCTCCCGATTTTCATTACTATAACAAGCTGCTTGAATTCCAGGCCTGAATGATTCCTTGGGAAATGACTATATAACATCTTTAAAGAGATGTGGGCGTTTCATTATTTTCTCTTAGGAAGGGAAACATACTAGGAACAAATCTGGGTCCAAGTTTTCCCAATAACCAACCTGAGCCTCCCCTGGCACAGCTGGAGGCCGTTCCCTCTCCTCCTGTCCCTTGTTCCCTGGGAGCAGAGCCCGACCCCCCCCGGCTCCCCCCTCCTCTCAGGGGGTTGCAGAGCCAGAAGGTCCCCCCTGAGCCTCCTTTGCTCCAGGCTAAGCCCCGCAGCTGCTCCTCATCAGTCCCGCGCCCACCTTGATGAAGAAGGTTTTCCCATCGCAGTTGCACCTGGAGAAGACGGAGTCGATCGGGGAGGGGATGCCCCAGCCGTCGGTGATGCGGCGGGGGTTGGTGCTCGGCGGGCTCCGGCCGTTCAGCAGCCAGTAGTAGTGACCTGGGGGGCAGAAGTGTCAGGGGCGGCGGACACAGCGTGTCCTGCCCCGGGGACACGGCCCTCCTCTCCCGGGGGCAGCGGCTGAGGCGGCTCCGGCGGCTCCGGGCCCGGCGGCACCGTGAGGGGCGGGGCGCGCGCTGGGCTCGGGCGGGTTTCGTGAGGGGCTCGAGCGGCCGGGACGGGTGAGGGAAGAGGAGGAGGAACGGGCTCGGGGCAGGTGAGGGGGGGAGGAGGAAAGGGGAAGCGGGAGCAGGGG